CTCAGCAGCACAGCGGCAAAAAGGGATCTTGGAGTCATAGTTAACTCCAAGATGAATATGAGCCATCAATGTGATGAAGTAATCAGTAAAGCTAACCACACTCTATCATGCATTTGCAGGTGCATCATGAACAGGTCCAGGGAGGTGATAGTTCCCCTCTATGTGGCATTGGTCAGGCCACAGTTGGAGTACTGCATCCAGTTTTGGGTGCTGCACTTCAAGAGGGATGTGGATAACCTTGAGAGGTTCCAGAGGAGGGCCACTCGCATGGTCAGGGGGAGCAGTCCAGGCCCTACAAGGAGAGACTGAGGAACCTGGATCTCTTCAGCCTCCACAAGAGAAGGCTGAGAGGAGATCTTGTGGCCATTTACAAATCAATTGTGGGGTAGGGGATGGGGCAGCAAGAAATAGGAGATGCTCTATTTACCAGGGCACCACTTGGAATAACCAGGAACAACGGCCACAAACTGACAGACAGCATGTTTAGGTTGGACATCAAGAACTTATTTACAGTAAGGGTTGCCAGATCTGGAATGGGCTTTCAAGGGAGGTAGTGCTCTCCCCTACCTTGAGGGTCTTTAAGAGGAGACTGGACAAGCACCTGGCTGGGGTCATCTGACCCCAGCACCCTTTCCTGCCCAGGGCAGGGTGTCAGACTCGATGATCTATTGAGGTCCCTTCCAATCCTAACAACTATGAAACTGAGTCTCATCTTAAGACACTGTAGATATATACATACTAAATGTGCATGAATATATAGATAAAACCAATTAATTACCTCTCTCTCTATTTTTGATTAAAGACAACTTTCCTCCACTACTTAAAGACTATTTGCAGAAAATAGGCCAAACCATTTTACGCTTAGTCCTTCCTTGTGTAAATAGCTCCATTGAAGACATGGTCATATTCAGATTTGTTCCCCGTCACTATTTGCTTTTTGTGCCAGGAAGAAAAGCCTACCCGGCACAAGGCAATTTAACCTTTAGGGGAAAGTGCTTTAGGGAAAAAACAAGTATGTCCCTATTTTTTTTTCCAAGTGTGGAAGAATCAGAATCAGTTTTGAAAAAAGATTCTGAAAAAGATCGGTCAGTCCTCTCAAGCTGTGAGTCTTGGAATAGAATGATTTATCTGAAAAACAGTTGTTAAATTGAGTCTTGTTTACTTCTACTACCTTAATGTGCACGTGCCAGAGGATTTAATTCGAGACATATACTTGAATATCCCCACCCACAGTTTTAGGGAGCAAAATTCTGCTACTTTGATGCTTGTTGTGAGATACTTAATCCATGCACAGTTCTACTGATTTCAGTGGGACTGCTTCAAGAGTGAGGCCCCTGCTGAGGGAAGTAGCCCCTGTAGTAGAATTTCCAAAAGGAATAGCAAAAAATGCATGTGCCGCATAAACCCTGTGCTTTCTACGGTGAACACACGAAAAGAATGTAAACATATCAGTGTAAAATGCAATCAAGAATGGTGCATTAGGACTAAAGTATGGCACACGGGGAACAAGTCCTGGAGCTCTGTCATATCCAGAGAAACTTCATCTACTACTATGGCCTTTTAAGGGAAGCAATATACTACCTTCTGTGTAACTTAGCAACATATGGTGAAAGGAGGGGTTTTGCATGCCACATGAAAACATATTGCAAACTTCTCAGCTTCCTAGCCTCCCCCACCTTCTGGAAAAGTTACTTCCAGAAGTGAGTAACTTGGAAGCATCTGTGGGCTTCCAAACATCGGCACTACAGTTCTGGGTGGCTCCTATATGGCATATATGTTGGGGAAGAAAGACACTTCTTACTTTTTCTCCACTTGTATGGTGCACAGGCAAGGTATAATCTATTTCTGGCATACTTATTTCAAAATAGGATTATATCTAACTATATAATATAGTCATATGTACACACACTTCACAATGAGTAGTACTGTCCCTTGGGTATAGTTTCATTCTCCTCATTTGGATTAATTTCCATGGTCTAATTCTACTCCCTTTTGATACTGAATATCACTTTTAGAGAGTTCCCACTAATTTCAGTACAACTGCCCTCAGAGTAAAGAACTACTTAGCATAAAAACACCAGAATTGGAGCTGAATGGCCAGATTAATAAAGCAAAAGTTCTAGTGGATAAGCAACCCTGAAGACACACAACAGTGAACCAATTTAATATAAATCTATCAGGTAATAACTGTGAATAATAATGCTTTACTTTACAATTGTTATAACTTGTAAGGGTGTGTTCTTATTCCAAATATCTATTTAGAACTTCCTACTATTTCCATTGAGATTTTAATAAAGCAACAGTTTTTATGTATTGCATATTTGAGTAAATTTATAGCAACCAACAAACCCCTCATATTTGTTCATGCAAAACAGGTATCTTCATGCACATGCCAGCACAGGTGTTCAGTTGCTGGTTTTGCATGCACAGCAGAATATACCTACTAATTTTATGAGCATATTTACAGATGAAAAGTGTTATTGTTGCAGAAAAATATCAGTTAACTGACAAAACTGATTCTTAGAGCTCTCCTAACGTAGCCTGTGATGCTAATCTACAAACCAGGAAGCAAGCAAAACAGAGAAATGGTGACTTGTTGCCGAAAAGAAACAGGAGGGAAGGGAGGTTGGGGAAGAGATTAAATTTTTCCAAAAGGACAAACAGACAAATTAAAAATTATTTCAGACCTTAGAAACCATATTCTGCCACCATTGCTCACACCCAGTAATACATTGTTACATGGCTATTCCAAGTGAAATCAATGGGACTGATACTGTAAGGTGCCACATAACACGTGTAAAGGTGTTAGAACCTAAAGAGGGGATAAATAAGAGGGGGAAAAAAAGATTCTCTTTCCTTAAGGCCATTAACTTGTGTACTGTCTTACATACTAAAAGATATTAAATATATAAGGCCAATTTGGGAAAGCAAATTGTTTTCTATAGTACATCCAAATGATAGCAAGCAATTACATTGGGAATTATAATAATTAAATATTTATTTTAACACATTATGTACAATGAGTGACTCACTTGGATATAATAATCAGTTTCAACGTAACCTAAGTAATGACCTTTATGACTCAGAGAAGGATTTTAACATTTGTGACTTAGGAAACTTTCTCTGCAAATGCACTGGGGGTTAACTATTTTGCAACAATATGTCTTTTCTGCTGTCAGGATTCCCAGTTTGCCTATCCTTCTTGAAGGTTGGCACTATTTGGCAATGTTTTTAGCAGTAATTGGAACTGATGAGACTCCTGTATTTGGGTACATTTTAGAATTCATACTAAAAAAGTAACAAACTAAAAAAATACATGTATATATACACATGTATATTATATATTGGTGTATATAATATATACACACACACACACGCATACACACTTTTATCTTTTTAACTTTTAGCTTTAATAGCAAAAGTACAGTAGAATTCCACTGATTGCAAGACTTGATTCTAGATTATCCATAGAAAATTGCTGTGGTCTTTTTTTTTTTTTTTTTTTTACTGGTAATCAACATAAGCTCAAAAAAAAAACCGAAATGCCATAAATGCCATAGTCTAGAACTGATAATCAAGTTAGAAAAAACTAAATCATTGAATGAAACCCACTAGAATTATAAAGCAGATGCTTAAAATGGAATACTTCTGAGGAAAAATGTTACTGGGTAGAATTTCATATTTCTAGCTATGTGAGTGTACAACATGCAGCATAATGGCCCCCCAATCCTGACTGGGGTTTTTAGGTGCTACCAGAACACAAATAATAAATAATAATACATGTACTGTAAACTCTCTAAAATGAGCAATAATACTTAGCACTTTCCATCTTTGAAACTGTACAAACAAACAATTCCTCACAACACCCCTGTGAGGTAGGTACATAAGTATTATTATCCCCATTTTATAGATGGGGAATACTGTAAAAGCGCTGGTTGTCTCTGCAAAGAGGAGTTAGTACCCTCCGTCCCACTGTAGGTGAAACCACTCAGTTCCTTTCAGAATAAGTTGGACACATCCCTATAGCATGTCAGTAGCAGAGCCAGCATTACAACTCAGGAGTTTCTGGATGCCTGAATTGCCCCAACGGTAATTGTTGAACCTTGATGACCCCTGAAAAAATATAAAGGTACTGTATATCAGTGCTGCAATGTCCGTTTTCTTTAAACAAGTCTGCTGGCACTTTTAGTATCTGAGAAGGGACAGTACCTGACCTTAAATTTAGTTTACCTTGGGCAGCAACGTTATAGCAAGATTCTCACGGAATACATTGTTCAGCTGTAATAGCTGTTACCATGTTTTTCATGGTTTTATACTTCAGCTTTAATATCCATGCATCAATCAAGTGAAAAAAAGATTGATTGCTCCTATGTGCCAAAACTTTGAACAAAGTGTAAGTTGAGACATAGCCATTGTGTTTATGTCCAAAATGTGACCTTCTTTAAAAAC